AGCTATTCTACTATTAACTTGCTTGGTGAATATGTGAGCTATGGCACACCTTTTCATTCATCACAAGACCCCATAACTAGAGAATATGGCAAACTTTCCTTTGTATGGCACCAATTTGTATGGCACTAATAATATAAATGTTTTAATTTTCATGTGTTTTGCAGTGTAAAATCTAACCCATAAAGCCTCATTCACCCTCATTTATACTCTAGTTATGATTACTAGCCTGTAGAGGAACATATATCTCTGCAAGAAGTCACTAGTCACTGATATAATGAATTTAAAGTTGGTGAAAATGTCTGCTTTTATATAGTACAGGAAGTGTCACTGGGTGATACCACTGTTACGGTCATGGACGGGGGAGGAGTAAATGCACTGTACAAATTACCTGTCAACATTACATTAGCAGTCCAGAGATTGATAAAGATTGTTATTTTTTTGATTTAACTGCATTTACTGTATGTGGGCATTAACATAGAAACATAGCATGTGACGGCAGATAAGAACCATTTGGCCCATCTAGTCTGCCCAATATGCTCCTATGCAGACATTGGTTTTGCATTCTGTTGCCATTTTAATGTCTACTGTTAATAATGCCTTCAGTTTTCTTACAAATACCTATAAGTAAGGTTTTTGACCAGTTTTATATACATTTTTGTCACACTTACTGTAAGTGAGAAAAAAATAGCATTTTTTGCTTTTATGGTAACATTTCAGACTCACTTTCACTGTGTGAAATATTGTAAGATAAAGGACACCGTAGGCTGTCTAAAGCTTTTCATTTCCCAATTTATTTTATAAATAATGAATGAATAATAAAATATAACAATTGTGTAATTGTACATATTTAACATTTTTAAGTTTGTCTGCAAAGCAATCTATACACAAAATTATGTTGTGATATGTTATAGGTGAGCTGTGCATCCCTTGCTTCAAATAAATGTTATGCTAATATTTATTTCAATTAAAAAGTGCTTGGCAGGGAAGAGGTTAAAATACAAACTAACAATTGGTGCATTATTCTTAAACACCACTCAAAAGATTATTTCTTGTATATTTACAATTGTAGGTATTTTACTCAAAATATTACTTCTTGTATATTTACAATTGTAGGCATTTTATTTATTTTATTTTTTTATTTTATATTGAAAAAAAATGTCCCATTCAACAAAATCAAGAGAGGATATGGTCGCAGGCTGTTTAAAAGTAAAATCTGAATCTAAAAGAAGATTATTTATAGCTTGAGAATTTTTCAATGATTCCTGTTTGTGACAAACAAAATAATGTTATTACTGTCACCATTTCTAGATATTTGCTTTAATTTTATATATCTTTGGATAAGCTTTTATTTTTTTCCAAACTATTAATAATTCAATATATCAAATATATATCAAACTATCAAAAATATATCAATATATCAAAATACTGAATATTAAAATATTTTCAAATTATATAATTTGAAAAGCTTACTCATAAATGTAAAAGCAAGGTCATTGTTAACTTAATATAATATAGTACTCACAGCTTTGTAGGGCTTCATGTATCCTAAGTGTATTGATCACAATTACAAAGTGAGATAAGTCTCTTTCATTCAGCTAATGTGCACCTTCCATGGCTAAAAGTGATAAGTCAGTGTTTCCATGCTGAATGCAGGGCAGTAGTGGTATATTGTATTGCTTTGGACATCCACACCTATAATCAGTGGATCATGTCCTTTTTGCATCTCACATTCTGGTCATTATATAAGGTATGGGGATGTGTTATATGACATCTCATGGGTAATTACTATAAAAAAAAAAACAATGTTCCTCTATGCTTAACATGGTTGATGATATTAATACCCTTCCTTCCCCTATCTTCTCCCCTCAACCCCGCAATGGGAATAGGTACATATCAAAATGATTTACACTTGACAAAGTGCTTGCATCTTGGAAGTGTTCTTTAGTCTTGGTATCCAACATGAGTCTGGACAATAGTCTTTGTGTTTTATAGTGAAATGGCACTCCAGTTACTTTTTAAGATATATATTTTTTTTTATTTACTCTGAAATGTAGGAATGTAGAAGAAAATGTAATTGATTTAATAGAACAAAACTTAGAACTCTTTAATCAAAAAGCCCAAATGATTACATCATCTCTTTTAGCAAACTCAGAGTCCCAGCAGAAAAACTTCTCAACTTTTAACGAGGCTTAGAAGAGGAAAGGTTTGTCATAAGGAAACTAATAGAGCTAAATTGATTTAATCTTAAACCATTGTTTTTAGTGAAACTGATAACTTGTTTAACCCCTTAAGGACACATGACGTGTGACATGTCATGATTCCCTTTTATTCCAGAAGTTTGGTCCTTGAAGGGTTAAAGTTGTATCAACTTTTTCCAACATGAGATGGCACTAGACAGAATGGGTAAAATTATATCAAGCTACAAATCACATGACAAGCAGTAAATTATTATCAGTCCTATAGGTTTCACATGCTATGAATTATAAAAAAAATTGATCAATGCATGTAGAGCCTTCTCATGTTACAGACATTACAGAAATATGTCAGGGAAAAAAAGCATCAAACATTAATTTTGTGAAAAATCTAGCAGTTCTCTGGCAGTGCTGTTTGTTAATATATATATATATATATATATATAAACTTCCAAGTGTCCTGCACTCACTGCTCCCGGTCCTGTTTATACCTCGGTGAAATCTCCGGCCTTTGTATACAATGTCTTGATGGAGAGCACTCACAGGACTTCAGAATATTTCAAAAGTGTTTTTTATTTCAGCAATCAACCTTCAAATACAAAGTGTAAACGTTGACACTTTGTATTTGAACATTGATTGCTGAAATAAAAAGCACTTTTTAAATATTCTGGAGTCCTGTGAGTGCTCTCCATCAAGACATTGTATATATATATATATATATATATATATATATATATATTCCAAAATGAGAAAACATATAAATTAGGATTCATTGTAGGCTTATAGGCTTTAACTTTACAAAAGTGCCATAGCTGTCGCTGGGGTCATAGGTGTGGTCACAAGTCATATTATTAACAAGCTCCACTTAAACCCCATATTGGTGCCCCTATGTCTGAATTACAGCCTTTATTTTGAACTCCTCCTATATCCTTGCATCTAAACTCTTCTCCGTTCATCTTGTATCTGATCCTCTTGTTTACCCGACTTTTAATTCATTGTCCCCCTAACCCTGAACCAGTTCTGAACATTATCACCTTCTGTCATTTTTGTACTAGACCAGGCTTCCCCAAACTCCTGCCCTTCAGATGTTGCTGAACTACAACTCCCATGATTCTTAGCCTATCTATTTCATTTATAGAATTGTACTTCAGCAACATTTGGAGGGCTGAAATTTGGGGAAGCCTGGACTAGTCTCTTCAGGTCAGTTCCTGACCTCTATATTTTTTTATTTTTTCGTTTTCTTTTTACTCAGCTGTTTGCATCTGGGATCCCAATTTCCTGGGATAATTACCTGTGGTGTTCTCAACAATATGCATCTACCATCTGAGTTCCAGAATATTAACTATCAGGCCCCAAGCCATAATATTATCTGAACCTATATGGAACCCATATTGGAAGGCATAGTCCATTGTGGTTGTAACATTGCAACTGGTTTCCTTAATTCAAACTATTGAACGTTCTATTTGGTCAAGCACATCTTTTAAAAAATGTCACACTACTGTAAAGTACTACCATTCTAGACTTACGCACTCAGATTCAAACTAATTACAAATCATTAGAATTTTGCGCAATCGGCGAGGAAACAAATTCCGTAACTCAAAAACACTGTATGGATTTATCACAAAACAAATGTCTTGGACAATGGATACGCCATTTTATTTGATTGAGAGTTGTATCTGTGGTGCCCAAAAAAAGGGGATGGAATGGAGAAAAGGTGATTGGTTTTTTTTGAGTGGGGAGGGGAAGGGGAGGAATAAACAGCTTTGTTTTTCCATGATGGACAAGAAGTTTACTTAATGATATGGGCTTTATCTCCCATTTAATCAAGAGTGGGATAAAAAAAATGATTGATGGTTAGGGGACCTCCAATAAATGTTTATTTAATTCATAGATCAAGTGAGAAGTGACCAACAAAAGGGAAAAGTAAGAGCAGTAAACTTTCTATATACTTCCAAGCAGAATTGTTTTAGACACTTGTATTCAGTCTATTGTGGGAGACAGACCAGCAGACACTTGGTATTGGTTTTGCCATTGTTGTGCCTCGGTAGGCGTGGGCTTCTTTGTCACTGAACTTAGTGTAAGACTGGTTAGTTCACTGCTGTCCCTAGCCACAGACAGTGCCACTTACTCTAACTTTAAGTGGGAGATAGAGATAGCCTGCTTAATTCTATAATTGTCCCTAGTGTGAAACTAGTGAGGTGGTTATGTTCCTGCTGCATGTAGCCAATGTCTTTGCCATTTACACCAAATTTGAACCTGTCTAATTGTATAACTGTCCCTAGTATGAGACTAGTGAGATGGTTAAGTGGCTGCTGTGCCTAGCAACAGTTAGGCCATTTACATAAACTTTGAGTGGAAGATAGTCTGTGTCATTGAGACTAGTGAGGTGGCTAGGTTACTGATGTGCCTAGTCACTGCCGGTGCCACTTACACCAATTTTGATTCACTAATTTAGATCAAATAATTTTACTGATTTGTGTTTTTTTATTTCTTGTGAGAAATAGATTATTTGATTTGAAGCATAGTTCAATGCCACTATCTATGCTTTGCAAATTGCAGTTCAGTATGTGCTCTGCAAGTGTACTTGTAGCCCATGGAGCAACGCAGTTAGGGGAATGGGCCTTGACAGGGCAAGAAAGTAGGCATGTTTTATTAATGTTTGGGAGCAGGCTTTGAGACATGTGGTTATGGGTCTAGGGGAATATAGCACGGCCATCTTAGAGAGTGGCGATTTTAATTTACAACTTACACTAACCTGTTACTTGTCCCTCCCACCCTCCCTGTGGTTAGTTGTTGTTCTCCGTTTGTTCACAGCGGCGGGGAAGGGCTAGGATAAATGGGAAGCAGGTGGAGTATGAAGTGGTCATGGCAAGGTTTAGGCTGGATTAGGCTGGAGTGGTTCAATTGGTTGGTAGGTTCGAGCTCATCGGTGGCTCTGAATCTGGGGGTGTAGGGGTGTCTCGGTACACCCCTACAAGTTAAACAGTTGTTAATGGGGCCTCTTTGGTAGGCCGTGTTATGGGGCCTCTTTGGGAGGCCGTGTTTTATGTTATATGTTATTTATACTGTTATTTATTGTATATTGATATGGGGTCATTGCCAGGGGTATTTATGTACGGAGGGGGACTGTATTAAAGTATCATTATTATATAGCAATGACCCCAATATGTTAATTTATGTTTTAATTAAATAAAGCTGTGGACTACGTATTTCCAACAGAAAAGATGGTGTCTGTGTCTTATTAAAGGTCTGTGTGGGGTTTATAGCACATGCGGAATAACGACTGTGCACATGTCAAGCACAGTGTAGTGAACTGTGCTGTGTGCAGTGTAGTGTTTCTTAAATTCTAAAACAGGCCTGCACAGCTTGGCAGTACGTAGCGGCCACAAATAAAATAAGCTAAACTTCTTTGAGCTACAGAAAGGATTTTAGTGCCTCACTTTCCAAGTAAAAGAATAATTAATGAATAAATCATGTTATATTATACATATTACTTTGCTAAGCAGAACAAGTCTGAATATATTTTTCAGGTTTTCTGACCATTAATGGGACATGTTACACCTCTTGTCAGCAATCAGTTTATCGCATTCCATTTTCATGCTAATCTGTTATTTTATCCAAGTGTTCATCTAAGTTGTCCTTGTCCCTTATCTGATCACCTTGGTCTGTGTTTATTTGCAAGGGTGAGCGTATAACTCTGCATACTGGACTCCACATCAGGTAAGATTCCTGACACTTTCCACCTAGCCATAGATGTTGATATCTCAGAATACCTGCCCTTTTTAAGTTTTAAAAATAATGCGGTCTCTTGCCCAGGGTGAACTGCCTATTCTGTAAAACTGGAGTAAGTGGAGAGGGATTGTTGGCAAGATTATACTTAATATTCAAATAATCCCTGATATGTAATGAGTTTAAAATTGAGGGGCATGACATTCTTCGTGATACTCTAGATGGTTTATCAAGCCGCATTTAACATTATAGTAAGTCTGGAGTCATTAAATACGTTTCAATCTTGACCCAACAATGATCTAATGGATTAGAGTGCCACATCTTGAGACAATTGTGCAGTATAATATTATAAAAGCAAATTTGGAAGGCCTAAGCCTCCTCTATTCCTGGGTCTATATAAAAGATTCCTGGATAATCTATGATGCTTATTTTGCCCTATAAACGCATCTCTAGTTTTTTGCAGGCCATCTAAATCACACTTAGTGATTTTTAATGGCAACGCCTGAAATAAAAACAGGATTCTAGGCAAAAGGAATTAGAGAATATAATTAAGAAAATCTTTATGTGGGACAAGACAAAAAACAATATATTCCAATGCAATAGAACTACTTCATTGGCTTGGAGGACATGGGAGAGATATATATCTATATCTATACAACAGAGGGATTGGTGCTTCTCTTTTATGAAGTTAAAAAATATATATTCACTGTCTTAAGTTATTTATAGATGGTATTTGGTTCCAACAAGGAAAGATTTCTTGACCCAACGATGATCTAACGAATTAGAGTGCCACATCATTACTTGAGACAATTGTAGAGCATTATTGTATAAATACAAATTGGGAAGACAGAAGCCTCCTCTATTCCTGGGTCTATATAAAAGATTCCTGAATAAGCTATCAAGCTTATTTTGCCTGATATACGCATCTATAGTTTTCTGCATGCCATCTAAATCACACTTAGTGATCCTGAGAGGCAATGCCTAAACTAAAAATAAGATTCTAGGCAAAATATTCATTTTGATACAATGGATTTTGCAAATCCACGAAATGGGTTTATTGATCCGTCCTTCCAAGTCTTTCTTTAATCTGTTAATAAGAGGCCTGTAATTGTCCAAAAACAGATTTGCATAAGAAGAGCCGATCTTAACACCCAAATATTGAAAAGATGAGCCGAAAATCTGATCAAATTTTGATCGAAGCAGATCTATCTCAGCTTGTGATATATGGAAGGGCACAGCACAGGATTTAGAGTAATTTATTTTGTAGCCGATTAGTGTTCCAAAGTAATCTAATAATCGAAATAAAGAAGGAAGTGACTGGACAGGGTTAGCAGGGTTAGGGAAAGTAAAACATTGTCAGCATAAGCCGCAACCTTAAACATCTTTAAGCCTATTGTAACACCCTGGATAGTTCTATCTATCTCATACTATGAAGAAGAGGTTCCCATGAGAGCACAAGTGAAATTGGGGAGAGAGTGCCTTGACGAGTCTAAAAAGGAACTGCCTGTGATCCAGGAAGTTGTATCTGTGCCCTTAGACTAGAATATAGAGAGTGGATCCTAATGATTAAAGAGACTGGAAAAGCCCAGAAAATGAGTAGTCGAAAAAGATAGGGCCACATAACCCTATAAAACGCCTTTTCGACATCCAGTGATAAGAGAACTAAAGGTATTTTCTCTGTTTCAACTAGCCATATCAGGTCTACAACTCGCCTAGTGTTCTCGTATAGTTGTCTATTTGAGATGAAACCAACCTTATCTAAGTAGGGAGAAGTGGAGAAGGCGCATTGCTAAAACTTTTGCTAGGATCTTTGTGTCTACATTTATTTAACATAAAGGTCTATAATTCTCAACATGAGATGGATCTTTATCTTTCTGGGGGATTAAAATAATGTTAGTCAAAGTCAAATGTGCTACGGGTTGCTATGGGTTAGATTAAACCCCTTAAGGACCAAACTTCTGGAATAAAAGGGAATCATGACATGTCACACATGTTATGTGTCCTTAAGGGGTTAAAGACCTCTTGCATATAGGGCAAAAGAAGTTTCAAAAAAGTCTTAATAACAACAATGGAACTAAATCCGTCAGAATCCAGTGCTTTCCCTACTTTAACTGAAAATATAGCTATTTTAATCTCCTCTAAAGAATCCACCAAATGGGAAGGGATTTTAGGAAGGTTCCAAGAACCCCAAAAATCCTCCATCATTGCATCTCTCTCCCTTTTCTCGTCGCCGTGATCAGGAGTGTGATTATATAATTTAGAAAAATATTTACTCTTTATAGATTTTATCTGAGGAGGAGACCAAAGAGCCCAAGGATGTTCTAATGGCTTATATTGGTTTGGTATGTAATCTTGGCTTCAGGCATTTAACTAATGGTGCGTCAATTCTATTTGCCCTCTCACAGAAATATCTCCAGGACTGCATCATCTGCCATGCAATATCATCTGGACGTAATTCTCGGATCTGTAGCTGGAGATCTTTAAATTCAGTTTGATTTTTTTCAGAGTGAGAAGATTTATGTGACTGTTCTAATTTGCGTAAGGATTTTTGGAGTGTAAAAAGAGCTTGATATTTTTCTTTTCTTATAAGATGCAATTTTTATCAGCTCTCCTCTAATAACGGCTTAATGCACAGCCCATAATGTAATTTTATCTACCTCTATCCTATAGTTGTCTGAAAAATAATTTGAGAGAGCTTTAGCTATTTCTTCTCTGATACTAAAACTGTGAAGCAGAGATGTATTAAGACACCAAGATCCAAAAGAGCCAGCAGACAGACCCCTAACATAAACTGTAATGTCTGAAGACGAGTTCAAGAGGTTTAATAGTGTAGCCGAGTTCAAGAGGCCTTCATCATCCAGTGTTCCTTCTGACCCCTTCCCCCTCATTCAACTACCTCAAGAAAACTGCTAAGACACAAAACAAAATCAGGACAAGAGGGAAAAGGGGGAATAATTTGAATTAAGGGACTACAGGGTCCCTTCTATTTGCTTCAAATGAGAGCATGTGCCAAAAATAAATAAATTATATTTTACTAATAGAGTGTCTGGCCAATCTTTTTTCCTTTCTTTTCTCTTTTTCTTTCTCTTTTTTTTCTTCCCTTTTCCCTCCCTCCTTCCCCTTATCTCCTTCTTTTCCTCCTTACAAAAATGCTACTTTTTACTTGAGCATTATCTGTGTGAGCAGGGTCTATAAAGGAAGTGAATGGGGTGTAATCTCATATCCCCAGTGTCCACGTAGTTCATCTCACTCAGACTATGCCACATGAGTCACATCTCCAAAGTTTTGCCACCAATGCATGAGGATGCACTGCAAGCGGTTTACTGACTAGGGGTAGAACCACTAATATACTTGACATTGATATCATTGATGTCAGACATAAAAATAAGGTGAACAGTATGAGTAAGACTATAGTAAGCCACATACTAAAACAACATGAAAATACAATTTATCTATTCAGATTCTAATTGACCCAGGACATACTTGAACACTAGAGAAATCTCAATGTATCTTTCCTGGTAAAATATTTTATAAATAAATAAATTGTACTTCATGCTACATTGCCATTATAAAATTGCAATTTTTATACACAAATTAAATAAGTTTTATTTTTTTGTCTAACAAATTCCTTTCTAATCAGAGTCTATTGGAGACACCTGGAAGGCAAATAGTTAATAAATAGAATAAAGCAAACTAATTTTGTCATCTCGTTCAGTGGAGCTCAAAGTCTAGAGATTAATTTGCTGGGTTCTCACATCCTCTTTGTTCATTTTCGTCAAGTCATTTCATGTTCTCCGGGGCCTCATTAAAAGTTAGCAAAAGCAGGTCATGTAATCTTTGCTTGAAAAAAGATGATGTAATTTATCAGTTTTCTTGCTTCACTGGCTATTGCTAAATCTAGTTTTGACCTGTTGCAATGTTTGCAACTGTGAGATTTTCAACATTATGTAATCCAGAACATTTATACGTGATTAACAGTATGTTTTTGTGTTACAAAGACTTTTTTATTTGTCATACAAGTCTACATTTTCTTGTAGTGTATATATATATATATATATTTGTAATATTTTTAAATATATATTTTTTGGAGTATTTTATCCATCTTGTCCCTTTGTCCCAATCTATCTTTTTAGTACAAGTCTACATTTTCTAACCCACCACCCACAGACAGTGTTACAAATCCCAGTTAGTACAGAGGTGCTTGTATTTAAAGGGGCAATATTTTTTTTAAACTTATTAGGCATTAGGTATGGAAGTTATGAACGTTGCTTGGATTTTAGATACCTACTAGATACCTACTACT